AGGTTCCTGGCCCACCCTCCTCCCCGCAGGAGTGGAGGACTGTGGGTCGTGCACTAAGCGAGGTGATTGCGGCGTGTGGTCCCCTCTCTCCTCCCCTGGGGGTGGGTCTGTGTCTGTGCAGGTGGGAGTGTTTTGGTAGGGCCTAGTTAAATGTCCTTACTGCCCTGGGTTCTTTTAGTAAAGGCCAGTGGGAGCAGCGCCTGCCCTTGGATGGGGAAGGCTGGGACGACCCTTAGTTCCCGGGACAGTTTGTTCCCTGGGCTGTGACCAGCCCCCAAGGAGGCTCTGTCTCCTTTACAGATGAGATCTGCCTGGTGGCAGAGAGTCCCCCTGACCCAAGGAGTGGAGCTGTTGACCCCGGTCCCCATCCCAGGGCTTTAGGCTCTGTTAGATGCGCCGGGCCCAGGCCATGGAGCGCTGAGATGCACCGGATCCAGCCCTGATCTCTCTAGTCCATGGGGCGCCAGTGCCGGGTGAGAGGACGGGGTGAGAGGCTCCTGGCAGCCTCCGGCGCTGAGGAGATGCACTGTGGTGACCTGCACCTACTGGCGTTTCCTGTGGGCAGGACAGCTGTGCCCAGGCCTGTTGTGTTGCTGGGGGCCAGCTGGGAGGTGACAAAGGTGATGGGCAGGGGATGAAGCTAACGCTGCTCTGTGCCCCCAGCCCCCCTTGGAGGTGGAGCTCTCCGAGATCATCCTGGTCAGGAACGAGGTGAACTACGCGCTCAACAACCTGTCCAGCTGGATGAAGGACGAGTTTGTGGAGAAGAATCTGGTAAGGGGAGACGCGTCCCTGGGGCTGAGCGGGCAGGGGAACCCCGCTGGGGCTGAGCTGCGGGGATGGGGAAGGAAACACCCCCCCCAGGTGGAGGCCTGGGGCAGGCGGAACCAAGTATCCAGGGCTGAGCCGGGACATGCCCCCACGTCCGAGCTAGGGCTCCTGTCCTCACGGCCGAGTTCAGTCCCCCACACCCACCCCAGGACCTGGGACCTGCTCCCCCCAGCTCCTGATGCCGAGGCCTCCCCCACAGGTGACTCAGCTGGACACGGCTTTCATCCACAAGGAGCCCTATGGAGTGGTGCTGATCATCGGGCCCTGGAACTACCCCTTGAACCTCATCCTGGTGCCCCTGATCGGGGCCATCGCTGCTGGTGAGTCAGGGACCTAAACCCCCCAAGCCTGGAACCTGCCCCAGGCAGAGGTCCCACCCCCAGCATGGGCCCCACATGCTCTGGGGCAGAGGTCCCGACCTACAACCTCCCGCAGCCCCAAATGAGGCTCCTGGTGCGTTCGCCAGGGACACCTCCCTGCAGTGCCCCCTGGTGGTGGGTCGAGGTGCTGCGGCGAGGCCCCGGGGAGGGGAGGTGTCTGTGCTGCCCAGTGACATCCCGCCTGCCCCCCCAGGGAACTGTGTCATCATCAAACCCTCCGAGATCAGCAGCAGCACCGAGAAGCTCCTGGCTGAGACGCTGCCCAGCTACCTGGACAAGGTAAGGAGCTGCCCCCTCCCCTGGCACCACGCCCATCTCCTGTTCCCAAGGCGCTGACCCACTTCTGCAGGCCTAGCACCATGCCCAGCCCCCTACCCTATGCCGAGCTGGCCCCCATGCCGCAGCCCCCCACACCCAGCTAGCCTCTGTGCCTCCCCAGTATCTCGACCTCTGGAGTGGGGCAGAGTAAAGGGGGCAGGATGAGGATCACCTCACACACCCTCCCCTCTCCAATTGCAGGACTGCTTTGCTGTGGTCACCGGGGGCCCTGCGGAGACCACCCAGCTGCTGGAGAACAAGTTCGACTACATCTTCTTCACTGGTATGTCCCAAGTGACCCAGCCCCCCTCCCCTCTCCATGATCCCCTCCCAGGGCCTC